TGCCAAGGAGTGATGGGGCCGGATGCCATGATCTTAGTTTTTTTGATGTTGAGCTTCAAGCCCACTTTTGCGCTCTCCTCTTTTACCCTGAGCAAGAGGCTCTTGAGGTCCTCTTCACTTTCTGCCATCAGAGTGGTATCGTCTGCATATCTGAGGTTGTTGATCTTTTCCCCAGCAATCTTAATTCCCGCTTGTGATTCATCCAGGCCAGCATTTCGCATGATGTACTCTGCATATATATTAAATAAGCAAGGTGACAGTATACATCCTTGTCGTACTCCTTTTCCTATGCTGAACCAATCAGTTGTTCCGTATCCGGTTCTAACTGTCGCTTCTTGGCCCTTATACAGGTTTCTCAAGAGACATGTGAGGTGGTCTGGTACTCCCATCTCTTTAAGGACCTGCCATAGTTTGTTGTGATCCACACAGTCAAAAGCTTTAGCATAGTCAATGAAGCAGAAGTAGATATTTTTCTGGTACTCTCTTGCTTTCTCCATAATCCAGCGAATGTTGGCAATTTGATCTCTAGTTCCTCTACCTCTTCGAAACCCAGCTTGTACTTCTGGTAGTTCTCTATCCACGTACTGTTGAAGCCTAGCTTGTAGGATCTTGAGCATGACCTTGCTAGCGTGTGATATGAGTGCAATTGTGCGATAGTTTGAACATTCCTTGGCATTGCCCTTCTTTGGGATTGGAATGTATACTGATCTTTTCCAATCCTGTGGCCACTGTTGCGTTTTCCAAATTTGCTGGCAAATGGAGTGCAGAACTTTAACAGCATCATCTTCTAAGACTTTGAATAGCTCAGCTGGAATACCATCACCTCCACTAGCTTTGTTGTTAGTAATGCTTTCTAAGGCCCATTTAACTTCACATTCCAGGATGTCTGGCTCGAGGTCAGTGATTATACCGTCGTGGTTGTCAAGGACATCGAGGTCTTTCTTGTATAGTTCTTCTGTGTATTCTTGCCATCTTTTCCTAATCTCTTCTGCTTCTGTTAGGTCCCTACCGTTTTTGTCCTTTATCATGGCCAGCTTTGCATGGAACGCTCCCTTGATTTCTCCAATTTTCTTGAAGAGATCTCTAGTCCTTCCCATTCTATTGTTTTCTTCTATTACTTTGCACTGTTCATTCAGGAAGGCCTCCTTATCTCTCCTTGCTGTTCTCTGGAAATCTGCGTTCAGTTGGGTAAATCTTTCCTTTTCGCCTTTGCCTTTCGCTTTCCTTCTTTCCTCTGCTATTTGTAAAGCCTCATCAGAAAGCCACTTTGCTTTCTTACATTTCTTTTTCTTTGGGATGGTGGTGATTGCTGCCTCCTGTACGATGTCACGAACCTCTGTCCATAGTTCTTCAGGCACTCTATCTATCAAATCCAGACCCTTGAATCTATTCTTCACCTCTACTGTATATTCATCAGGGATGTGATCTAGGTCAAACCTGAATGGCCTCATGGTTTTCCCGATTTTCTTCAGTTTAAGTCTGAATTTTGCAATGAGTAGCTCATGATCTGAACCACAGTCAGCTCCAGGTCTTGTTTTTACTGACTGGATAGAGCTTCTCCATCTTTGACTGCAAATTATATAGTCAATCTGATTTCGGTGTTGCCCATCTGGTGATGTCCATGTGTAGAGTCGCCTCTTAGGTTGTTGGAAAAGGGTGTTCGCTATGACCAGTGTGTTCTCTTGACAAAACTCTGTTAACCTTTGCCCTGCTTCATTTTGCTTTCCAAGGCCAAACTTGTCTGTTATTCCAGTTACCTTTTGACTTCCTACTTTAGCATTCCAGTCCCCTATGATGATGAGGACATCATTTTTTGGTGTTAGTTCTAGGAGGTGTTGTAGGTCTTCATAGAACCGGTCCACTTCAGCCTCTTCTGCATCAGTGGTTGGGGCATACACTTGAATTACTGTGATGTTGAATGGTTTGCCTTGGAATCGGACAGAAATCATTCTGTCATTTTTGAGATTGTATCCCAGTACTGCCTTTTGCACTCTCTTGTTGACTATAAAGGCCACACCATTTTTTCTACGAGATTCCTGGCCACAGTAGTAGATATAATGGTCTTCTGAGTTAAATTCGCCCATTCCTGTCCACTTTAGTTCACTGATTCCTAGGATATCGATGTTCAGTCTTGCCATCTCATTTTTGACCACGTCAAGCTTACCTTGATTCATAGATCTTACATTCCAGGTTCCTATGCAGTATTGTTCTTTGCAGCATCGGACTTTCCTTTCACCATCAGACACATCCACAACTGAGCGTCCTTTCGGCTTTGGAAGAAAGAAAGAAAGAAAGAAAGAAAGAAAGAAAGAAAGAAAGAAAGAAAGAAAGAAAGAAAGAAAGAAAGAAAGAAAGAAAGAAATTAATTTTATAGTAAACGAAACATCTCAGGTTGTACCAAAGGCTACTGATAGAAGAAGCAGTGGCTGCTCTCCCTTTGTAGTAGTAATGAGTCTGGACTCCAGCACCAGTCAGGATACAGGATCGGAGTTCCGGCTGGCTCCTGAGTTGGCCACGCCCAGCAGGAACTCATTAGCATAATAGGCCTCACCTAACAGCAGAAACTCATTAGGATTGGCTGCATTAGGGGTGTGTGGTCTAACATGCAAAGAAGTTCCTGCTACAAAAAAAGCCCAGGGTTTTGACAACAAAGTAAACAGAATAAAAAGCAAAAGGTGTGGTAACATGGGGGTCTGGCCTAATATGCTGATCAGCTGTGATGTCAGGGGTGTGGCTTAATATGCTAATGAGTTTCTGCTGTTGGGTGTGGCCTATTATGCTAATGAGTTCCTGCTGGGCTTTTTCTACAAAAAAAGCCCTGAGTGTCGGGGTGCGCGGAATGCTGGCTAGCACGTTAGTGCCCAAAGTGAGTTAGAGTACCCAAAGAAGACTGGAGTCCAGAGCTTAGGTGCAAACACACAGTGATATTTATTCACACCCAGCTTCACCAATATACAGTTCCCAGTGTCAAAGTGCTCCGCTGCAACCATTCCAAGTGATAGAACACAGTACACTGTACACTCTGTACATATATGCAACCACTGACCAATCAGCACACAGCTGATGCAATCCTGGTGCAATGCTCAGTGCCAGGCTGGACTGCTTTAAACCGGTTATAGCCAGCCTCCTTTGCAGCCTCTTGCTGTCACTCACCCTGACACTAGATCAAACTCATCTAGGCCAGCCTTACCTATACAAGTGAATCACGACACTGAGAAGACCCCTTGTAAAAGCAGACGGAAAAAAATCACTTTGGCCAGTCGGGTGTAGTGGTTAGCGAGACAGACTGGGATCTGGGAGATCCATACTCAAATCCACACTCTGGCATGTCAATCTGCTCAGTAACTTCAGGCCAGTCACAAACCCTCAGCCTAACCTACCTCACAGGGTTGTTATGAGAGTAAAACAATGAAAGCCGCTTTGGATTCCCCACTGGTGAGAAAAACAAGGTATAAATGGAATAAATGTTTAAAAAATCCTTGATGGCTCTTTTCCAGCGTCCGTAGATCATCATGCTGCAATTGTTCTATATGTTGTCGAAGGCTTTCATGGCCGGAGTTCATTAGTTGTTGTAGATTTACCGGGCTGCATGGGCATGGCCATGGTCTTGGCATTGTAGGAACTGATGTTTCGCCAGCAGCTGTGACTGGCATCCTCAGAGGTATAACACAGAAAGATGGAATACTCTCTGTGTCAATGTGAGAGGGAAAATGGTAGGCAGGTAATTTATATCTACTCAGGAATTGTTCTGTTTCCAGGTATTCTTTGTCCAGTGTTCTCAATACGCTCTTTCCCAGACCTGCCTTACTCTGATCTTTTTGGAAAGAATCAGCCATCCAAGCACATTAGCACACAGTCTGGGAGGAATGGTGGCACATTCTCCTACAATTCTCCCATCCAGTGCTCCCTGTAAGATGAGGTAGTGTGAGCTAGCTCACAGTCTTTTAGCCTCCGGCTCACACATTTTTGTCTTAGCTCAGGAAGGATGGCTTCAGAGCAAACTAATTTATGCAGTAGCTAAACCACTCGCTCACAACTTACTGCCAGTAGCTCACAAAGTATAATTTTTGCTCACAAGACTCCACAGCTTGGAGGGAGCCTTACTCCATCCTCAAACACATATAGATCAAAGAGGGGTGTGATGATTCCTAATTTAGTTACTCCTAAATGATTCCTAATTTAGTTAGAAATCGCAAAAGGGATAAATGCTATTGCATGGCAGTAGAAATGGTGAATCGGCAGTTTTAGAAGTTATATCCAAATACATGCCACAGTGTGAAAGAGAAGACCAATGTGACGGCAAAGTGAATTTAATGACATGTGATTTTCTCCTGCAGGGTGTAGCTGGAAATCCTATGATGAAATCAGTCTTTAATAATGGCATTCTGTAGGGACAATGATCACGATACTGGTTCCTAGCATAGCTCCTTACATCAGTAAGTGAAAGATAACAGGAACTGTTGTGGTATTTGTAAATCCAGATTGTACAACAGGGATTATCTTCTGGTGAGATGTGTCTTTGCTTTGAAGGACTGAGATCTAAGATGCAACTGCTGATAACGCCGAGAAAGGTAACAATTATGCATCTTTTCCACCTACATTCTTCACATGAATACAAAGTTGGCTAAGCAATAAGTGGTTCCAGTTTACTCATATCCATTGGATATTGGAATTTTCTCATCACCAGCCCTTCACAGGAAACCATTTTTTCAATTCCCTACTGAGAAATAGAAGCTAAGGTGTGCCAACCGGACTTGTAATCTCAAGAGGTATACTGTCTACCAGGTGCATGCATCCAGGATGTGATGGAAAGGGTAGGAAGATTCATCAAGCCCATGGATCATTATCCCTTCTTGCTCATCTATGTGGGAACAAATGATACCGCCGGCACAGCTGAGAACATATTAAAAGAAACTATGTGGCTCTGGGTAAACAGGTGAAGGAATCGGGAGCGCAGGTTGTATTCTCGTCAGTTCTTCCTGTCAAAGGCCGTGGCTTAGGAAGGGAAAGAAGAATACTGCAGATCAATGATTGGCTACGTAGATGGTATCATCTGGAAAGGTTTGGATTTTTGGACCATGGCTTACACTTTCGGGATGAAGTTCTTCTATTGGGAGATGGTTTGCACCTCACGAGGGTAGAAAAAAATGTGTTTGGAAACAGCCTTGCAAACCTAATAAGGAGAGCTTTAAACTAAATATTGTGGGGGAGCAAGATAAAAATACAAAGCCGATAACTGAAAATAAGAACTCTAAAGTTTTGCGGGGAGTGGCACATATGCTAGATAACATTAACTCACATGTAAGTACAGAAACGAAAACCTCAGGGTGCATAAAACATGGATTCTGATGTTTTACACTAATGCAAGGAGTATGGGAAACAAGCAGGAGGAACTTGAAGTCCTAATACAGGAAGGGGACTATGACCTAATAGGCATTACTGAAACTTGGTGGGATGACACTCACAATTGGAATATTAGGATTGAGGGGTATAATTTATTTAAAGGGACAGAAAAATAAGGAAGGACGGAGGAGTTGCATTATATGTATAGGAGGTATATACTTGTGAGGAAATATGTGAATCTGAGCATGGTTGAGTCTGGTTGAGAGCAATATTCCCTCTAAGCTGTGGAGTCTCGTGAGCAAAAATTCTACTTTGTTAGCTATTGGCATTAAAATTGTGAGCAGGAGATTTGGCTGCTGCATAAATTAGTTTGCTCTGGATCCCTCCTTCCTGAGCTAAGACAAAAATGTGTGAGCCAGAGGCTAAAAAACTGTGAGCTAGCTCACACTAACTCAGCTTAGAGGGAGCACTGGTTGAGAGTCTCTGGGTAAAAATAAAAGGAGTAAGAAATAATACTGATATCATGGTGAGGGACTGCTATAGATCACTAAGCCAGGCAGAGGATTTGGATGAGACACTCCTACAACAGATTACAAAGTTCTCAAAGAGACGGAACATGGTGGTCATGGGAGATTTCAATTATCCAGATATCTGTTGGAAGTCCAACACTGCTAGGAATGAAAGGTCCAATAAATTCCTGACTTGTCTTGCTGATAACTTAATTTCCCAGAAAGTGGAGAGGGAAACAAGGGGATCTGCTATCTTGGAATTGGTTGATGAGGTGAAACCAGGGCCGGCCCGAGGAATTTGTGCGCCCTAGGCGAGGCTGCCTCGTGGCGCCCCCCTCGGATGCCAACCTCCCGGTGGGGCCTGGAGACCTCCCAGCTGGTGGCTTTTGGTTGACCAAACTGCTAAAATGTCCTGATCTGCTTCTGTGAGCCCTGTGATCAAGGTGGGCAAGAAGTGAAGCCCCCCCCCCCACGGCTCCGAAATGCAGAGACTGGCGGGGAGAGTGGGCCGGGAGGGGGGTCTAAAGCTGCCAGCCGGAGGCTCATCTTAAAGCCCGGCCTTTCCGCCCAGGCCTGGCCTGCGCGGCATCCACCGCTGAGGGCAGGCTTCCCAGCCAGTCAGTCTCCCAGCCTCGCCTCGCCCCCCTCCCTTCTTGGGCAGCTGCGGAGGAAGGGGCGGGCACGGGCAGGCAGAGAGTGAGCCTGGATTCCTTCCCAGCCGCGACTGGTGGCAGTGGCGGTGGCGGCAGTGCGCGTCTGGCCGGGGCTCCAGCGGTCCCTTTTGCTGCTGCTGCTGGCGGTGGGGTGGTCTGCCTTTGTAGCCGTTGGGGCGGCGGCTTTGTTGTTCCCGGGCTTTATGTGGGGCGGGCCTGGGAGCCGCGGAGAGGCGCCCATGCAGCCCGCGCCAGGGCTGGAGTGAGAAGGCGGAGACAAACCGTGGCCGCAAAAGCTGCCAGTGCGCTTGCACGGAGGGGGGGCGCTGCTTCGCCCAGCGGCAAGGACTACAACTCCCACCAGGCTCTGGGACCGCCCATCGAGTGGTGCGCTTTCCCTTCCTCACCGCAGCTTTTCTCTCCTCCCGGTGCCACCCTGGAGTGAGCACGGCCGCCCCATGCTGGGTTCTCAGGCAGGCAGCTGCAGAAGCCGGCCTGGGCCTGGAGCAAAGCAAGGTGGCGGGGGGGGGGCGGTGTGTGTTTCTGTGCACGTGTGTGCACGTTTGCAGCCTGATCTCTCCCCTTTCACCCGCTCCACTTTCTCTGCGGCGCTCCCCGATCAGCTCAATTTCCCTTCATTTAACCTAAGCGCGGGGAGGAGCGAAAGTGAAGAGAGGTTTGTGAAAGTGCCAGAATGCCTGCACAGCCCCCACCCCAATTTCCCTCTTGTACTGGTGTTTCTGAGGCTGTTTTCTCAAAAACGGCCACGGAGACAGCATGAAAAGGGGCCTTCTGAAAGGCAGGGACGCTGCCCTGGCGACATCGCAGGGGCGGAGAGGGACCTTCCCAAGCATTTAGCCCGGCAGCTTTTCTCGCTCGGCTCGCTGGAGCCAAGGGCAGGGAGTGAAGGATAAGGGTTGCGCGCTGTTTGTTCTGCTGGGGAAAATGGTCTTTAAAGGGGCAATCATCAGGCATCAAAATGCGCCACTTCACCCAGCAGCAAGGACTACAACTCCCACCAGGCTCTGGGCCCGCCCATCGAGCGGTGCCCTCACCGGATGCGCAGGAGGCTGGCCGCGGGGAGTGCCCCTGCCCCGAAATGCTGCGGAAGTGCGTCTGTGGCTCCTGGCAGGCGATGGCGGCGTCTCCAGCCCCGGGCGGCTCCCTCGAGGGCGAAGCATCCCAATCGCCCAGTTAGGGCAGCAGCGGTGGCTGGGGTTTTTGGGGGGGCGCAGTTTGGCGCCCCTGAGAGCCGGCGTGCCCTAGGCGAGCACTTAGTTCACCTAGTGGGCGAGCCGGCCCTGGGTGAAAGTAGTGGGCACCCTGGGTAATAGTGACCATGTAATTTTGGAATTTACGGTCTTGGGCAAGGTAAAAGCTGTACATAGTGAGACATACAGGTTGGACTTCAGGAAAGCAAATTTCGATAAACTTAAAATTATGCTGGGTAGAATCCCATGGTCAAAAATACTTAAGGAGAAGGGAGCTCAAGAGGGATGAGAGTTTCTTAAAAGTGAAATACTGAAGGCACAATCATAAACAATTCCTATGAGAAGGAAAAATGGGAGGAACCTAAAGAAGCCAAGGTGGCTCCGTAGCTTTCTAAGGACTTGAAAAATAAAAAAGACTTAATCAGAAAGTGGAAGGAGGGCCTTATAACCAAGGATGAATATAAACAAATCACCACTGCTTGTAGAGAGACGGTTAGGAAAGCTAAAGCTCAGTATGAGCTTAGGCTTGTGAGAGACGCTAAAAACAACAAAAAAGGGTTCTTTTCTTATGTTCAAAATAAGAAAAAGAGCAAGGACATGGTAGGCCCATCGCAGGACAGGAAAGAGAAATTGTAACAGGTGATGAAGTGAGGGCAGAACTGCTCAATTCCTACTTTTCCTCAGTCTTCTCTTGCAAGGGAAATGGTGTTCAACATGGCAAAAACAGAACAGATGATGAGGGAATGGAGTTGCAGCCTAGGATTGACATAGGGGTAGAACATAAACATCTAGTTTCTTTAAATGAAACAAAGTCTTCGGGGCCAGATGAGCTGCATCCAAGGGTACTAAAAGAACTCGCAGATGTAATTTCTGAGCCTCTGTCCATTATTTTTGAATATTCTTGGAGAACAAGTGAGGTGCCAGAAGATTGGAGGTGAGCAAATGTTGTCCCCATCTTAAAGAAGGGGAGAAAGGAGGATCCGTGTAGTTACCACCCCATCAGCTTGACATCTATACCTGGGAAAGTTTTAGAACAAAATTTTTTGTATAATATTTTTATTATTTTCAGTAAAACAGATTACAGAAATGTTTAGAGTCAGTTATACTTGCAGTAATATATACATCAATACAACACATTACAAATCTTTTAAGAAAAATAACAGGTCTTGATAATGCGGGTTATTTAGGATTATATTTCTCTCTGTTAACAAATAATCAAACAGACAGTCCTTGAGCATTTAGAAAGGATGGCTGTAATTATTAAGAGCCAGCATGGGTTTCTCAAGAACAAGTCATGTAAGACTAACCTTATCTCTTTTTTTGAGGAAGTTACTACCTTGCTGGATCAGGGGAATGCTGTAGATATAGTTTATCTTGATTTTAGTAAGGCTTTTGATAAGGTTCCACATAATATACTTGTTGACAAATTGGAAAAATGTGGTTTGGATCCTATGACTGTTAGGTGGATCTGGTTGACAGATTGCACCCAAAGAGTGTTTGTGAATGGTTCCTCATCTTCTTGGAGATGAGTGACAAGTGGAGTGCCTCAAGGATCTGTCCTGGGACCTGTTTTGTTCAACATCTTTATCAATTATTTGAATGAAGAGCTAGAGGGAATACTTATTAAATTTGCAGAAGGGGTAGCAAATACGGTAGAAGACAGAGTCAGGATACAAGATGATCTTGACAGTCTGGAAAACTGGGCTAAAAGAAATGTAATGAATTTCAATGAGGATAACTGTAAAGTTCTGCATTTAGGTAGGAAAAATCAAATGCATAATTATAGGTTGGGGGAGACTTGTCTTGGCAGTAGTATGTGCGAAAAGGATCTAGGGGTCTTAGTAGACCATACACTGAACATGAGTCAGCAGTGTGATGTGGTTGCTAAAAAGGAAAATGCGATTTTGGGCTGTATCAACAGAAATATAGTGTCCAGATCACGAGATGTGATGGTACCACTTTACTCTGCTCTGGTTAGACCTCACCTAGAGTATTGTGTTCAGTTTTGGGCACCACAATTTGAGAAGGATATAGACAAGCTGGAACGTGTCCAGAGGAGAGCAACGAAGATGGTGAGGGGTCTGGAGACCAAGTCCTATGAGGAAAGGTTGAAGGAGCTGGGTATGTTTAGCCTGGAGAGGAGAAAACTGAGAGGTGATATGATAACCATCTTCAAGTACTTGAAGGGCTGTCATCTAGAGGATGGTGTGGAGTTGTTTTCTGTTGCCCCAGAAGGTCAGACTAGAACCAACGGGTTGA